GTAAGGGGGGGTCTGGGCGGGGCCAAGGCCAGCAGGCCCCAAGACGCTGCCCCCTGCCAGGCGTTCAAAGCCCAGCGAGGATGGCACCGTGGGTGCCTGCGAGGGCTTCAGATGAAGCACGTCATGTGGGGAGAGGAGCCCATTGGCTGGAGGACTGAATGGGGGGTCCTGGAGGCTCAGAGACGAGGGGCCCGGGAAGGGGCGGCTGCCGAAGGACGCCGGGTGCTGGTAGGCGGACAGGGCAGAGGAGGACGGGAAGGGGCTGGAACCCGGCAGGGCGCCCGAGATGAAGAGCTCCGTGGGGCCTGGCGTGTGCATGGCTGGGGATGAACAGCATAGCTCAGAAGGGGCTACGAGCCAGCCCCACCCTGGGCCTCCAGGACCAGCACTGGGCTTACCTGTTTGCCAGGAAGGACTGCGAAACTGGGAGAGGAGAGAGGAGGCAGAGGGACCAGGCTGCGGGCCCCGGGACTCCAGGGCCGAGATGAGGTTCATGACGGAGGCGTCGGGCCCTGCTGAGCCCGCGTGGTGGAGGCCAGTGTCGAAGAGTCCGGAAAGGCCTGGCCAGGGACAGGGAGCAGAGTCGCCCAGGTGAGGGCAGGGCAGGGTCAAGAGAGGGAGGAAAGAGGCCAAAGGCAAGCTGGGTCGGAGAGAGGGGTGAACAGAACAGAACGAGGCAGGCTCAAACCAGAGAAGACCGGAAGGACTGTGCTAAGGGGGCAGGGCTGAGAGCTAGGAAGGGGGGGCCACTAAAGCAAGATGGGGCGCATTCCCACCACAGGGTGGGAGCCCAGGTGGGAAATGGTAGTCAAAAGAGTAGGGAAGCCAAGCAGAGGAGAAGAGTGTCTAGTAAGGTGGAGCGATCTGAACAATTCCAGTGAGCAGGGAGAGAAATGGGAGGACTGGAGCCCCAGAAGGAGCAGACTCAGGTCCCAAACTGAGAGCCAGCCTGTGAGGGCGAGGGGCCAGTCAAGAGGGTCAAGGGTCAAACTGGTCTGTCCAGTCTCAAGGCTGGTAGGCTTAGGAAGGAGGCCAGGGAAAGGAAAGGGAACCAATCGGAAGCTCTGGCGGCAAGGCCAGGAGGTCAGGTAAGGGAGTGGGCAAAGCTTGGAAAAAACTGGGAGGGCCAAAGAACCGGGAGGGCCAATCAGGAAGAAAGGGAATCAGGAAATAAGAATTGGGAGGGCGGCAGAGCCAAGCGCATGGAGCGAACCCAGAGGGAAAGGATTGCGGTGGGCTCAGCAGAGGCGGAAAAGCCTGGAAGAGAAGGTGGGATTTGGGGGCTGATGGGACGGGGCCAATTGGAGCGAAAGGGGCGGGGCCGGAGGCAGGGGCGGACGAATCCGGCGTGAAATTAAGCCGGGAGCAGCAGCCTCAGACGCAACCAATCAGAGGAGAGACGGCAAGGGGCGGGCCACGACACAGGACACAGCCAATTAGGAGGGGCGGAACTTTCGGCAACCAACCAGCTGCTTGGGAGGGAGGACTAGCTCAGGCAGAGCGGGATGGGGGCCATACCTGCCGGGTGGTGGTTGGTGGCATAGCTTTGCAGTGGGTGGGGGGCCGCGTAGGCCTGACGGTGTAAGATGTCCGTCTCGGGGTGCGAGGTCCTGGAGCTGCCATAGACTAAGCTGTAGGGGAAGACAGAGATGTCAGGGTGCCCTCCCAAGCTGCCCTCGGAGAAGGGAGCTCGGGAAATCCCCTGGGGAGTTGGAGGGACCCTTTCACCTGAATGAGGAGCTAGCCTAAGGAACCTTGAGCCCTACTGGGAAGATGAGGGAATACGTGTATCCAACTAAAGAGACCCAGAAATCGCTCCCATTCTAGAACCCTAGTAAATAGAGTCCAGATAGTCATGTTTGCAAACAGGCATGCAGAGAGAGGCACAGAAGAGTTCAATGCAAGTCAGAGGAAGTGTCTTGAATTGAAAATGTTAAAGGCATGTACCTCCCCCTCCACCCCCACCCCCGCACCAGTGTTACAGGCAGTGGAAGCCAACCCCAGAGGTATACATGGACGCCCCCTCTTCTGTAGACACGTGGGCATACATAGGCCCTGAACCTCAAGGTGTGGTGCAACCCTGGCTGGA